AAGTTCATCTTTAATTTGTTGCACTCTAATGGCACATTTATAGCCTTCACGGTGTTTTGCTAAGATAGGCATGGAAAAACCCACATATTAACTTAGCACGACATGACATGAACTAGCCGAGCACACTATAGCATGGGCTAGCCTAACACAGGAAAGCATGGGCGGATTCACACACACACACAGATATATATATATATATATATATATATATATATATATATATATATATATATGTTGATCTAAAGTTTTGGTGTGTACATCTTTGTTAGAATTGTAATCTATTATTCATGATGTAATGTGCATTTTATTTCAAGAGATATCATAACTATGATAAAAATGGAGCATGACTTTTACAAACAACATCATAGCATTCCTGTTTTATGAACTTCGGGTACAATTTCATTGAACATTTGAGATGCACTTTATCCTAAATCTAGGCAATAATATATGAATTATGCATAAAACTATAATAGGAGCACATGTTTTGTCAATAAAATTTATAATTAAACAATTAAAAAGGTGAGTAGATTGCTCTAAATTTTATTATTAACAATATCCTTGTTATACTTTATAAGTAACCTTTAGTATTTAAAATAAAGTTGCATATATACTTTCTTACTCATAGATTTCCAATCAAATTGTAATTATATATCTTTATAATATAAAGATGAGTATTATATCTCAAAGGGGTTGTTGAATAAGTGGAGAATAATTTTCGTGTCAGAATGTCATGAATTAAATTCTTGTCAGCAACATATTGATCGAGCTTATCGCACAAGTTCTTTCTATTGAGGTTTACATCTCTTGTGTTGTTTGCGGCTATTACAAATCAGCTAATTTTACCCCTTTGCTCACCATTGAACAGTAACAAACAAAGTATAATTTATCTTTCGTATGTGATTTGCAGACTATTACACAAGAGTGAGTGACAAATAAAGAACGACGGAGGGTGAACGATTAAAGTGATTTGCGGACTATTGCACATATCAGATAGTGACAAACAAAGAACATATGATTTTAGTAGAACAAATCTTGTAAGAAATATCTAATAACCAATTAATCAAAACATATCGAGTAAAATCGGTCCGACAAAGATATTTCAAACATTTTTCCTATAAATATATAGATATCACCACAAAATTTCATAAAGCAACGTGGTCACACCCTCCATTCTTAAAGCAATGACAACGTGATTTCATAATAACACAATTCTCTTTTTGGACAAACAAAAATAATTTAAAAATACACTCTCCATGTCACTACATATGTTATGGCTTTTTGGTCTCACATTTACCCAAACCCTTTTGTTTTTCTTTGAATTTTTTTGTTTTACCTCTGCCTTTTGATTTTTTATGCATTACTTTCTCTATCTTCGAGAGATGAGGCAATTTCTTTAATCTCTAACAAAAATAATTAAAAATACACTCTCCATATTATATTATATGATTAATTTTTAGGTTTCACATTACTCTCTCAACGACGTTTTTAAGAAAATTGACTCAAATATGACTCGATTGATACTTAATTAGAGTCGTCTGATTGTTTAAAATGCAGAAAATAGATAACAGTTCAATATGTCCAAAAAAAAAATTGAGTTTTTTTATTAAAAAAAAAAATCTCTTTTATAAATTCTATGGCATATGCAAAATGGGTTATTGACCCTTTGGTTAGTGGGGTCCTTTGCTATTCTTGTTTTCAGCCTCTTTTTGTCTTTTTTTATTTTTAAAATGTGTGACGTGACTTAAACTAAATTTGAATTAGTCTTATAGTTAATGAGAATACCAAATATTATAGAAAAAAACTAAAGTGATATATATATATATATATATATATATATATATATATAGTTGAGTTCAAATGATGACTACTATATTATAGAGGGCTATGATGACGGATGTAGTCGTGTGTCATTAGTCTGTATGTCGTGTGCATGGTCGGATGTAATCGTGTGTCATAATTTATATGTCATGTGCATAGGTTTGTTAATTAATAGAGTCTGGGTTCGAAACCTGATGTTTACATGTATTCTTGTGTGCCATTGTGTATTAAGTTGTGTGCCTGGTACTAATTTATTGTGTGTGAGTAATCAGTCTGCACAGTCCTTTATATATTGTAGTCCTCATGTGAACTCAACCCTATATATATATATATATATATATATATATATGTGTGTGTGTGTGTGTGTGTGTGTGTGTGTGTGTGTGTGTGAGGGGGGGCGGGGGGCGCTCACATGGGTAGCTCAATTGGTCATAGAGGTGAAAGTTTGGAAGAATTAGCAGGGATCGAGTCTCACCAGCGACAGTGTAGGAGCAACCTCTCAAAGTGAAGTGAGGGGAGTTCCTCTATGGTTCATGATCAGTTCAGAACTAAGAGAAAATGAAAAACTAATAGTGCACTTAGAATCTGTAATAGTATACTCAATGTGTGCACCGTACTATTAGTTTTTTCAAGGTGCATTATCAAACATTCTTAAATAGACCATCGTAATAAATTATATCATCGTATTTTTTCTTAATTTTCAACTATTGATGAATAGATTAACAGATAAGATTAGTCATGATCATTTTCACGGGATATCTAGTTTTCATTTGAACATGATTATATATATAATTGTTGAGCAAAAAGCTTGAAGCTAAGGCTGTCAAACCTTTTGCATTCTCCAGCTTTAAAGTATGGGATATGATAGAGAATGCCAATTTTGTAAAGTAACAAATTAAGGAAAAAAAAAAAAAAAAGAAAGCTTCCAAGAAGCATATGCTCCAAATCTTGTTCGGATAAAGTGTCGTCGGTCCGATCTGTCCGACCACATAAACTAATGCTAACTCACACTACCTAGGGTTTGTCTCTCACCTCTTAATAAACCAATCTTTAAACATGAAATTTGAGTAAATTCTTCTGTTCTTGAGACAAAAAGTATCATGTAAATTTTTAAAAATTAATTAAATATTAAAATTTTGTGCATGAAGTATATATTACAGAATACATGTAAATAGGTAAATCACGCTCCTATGTAATAAACTGCACTAAAAAGTATAAAAATCCTAATGGACGAATTTGACTGAGAAAGTACTGGTAAGAATCAAACTCGTGACTTTCATGTACGAAAGTCATACTCTATCCACACGGCCACCCATTTCAGGGCTCTCTTGCACACTTAAAATTAAATTGTACCGTAAACAAAAATATCGTGTAATTTTATCAATTAACCGCAATAAATCACACTATATAAAATTTTCTTGTCAAATTTTATCTATCATTTTATTTTTTTCAAACAAAATAAGGAAACCAAAAACAAAAAGGATTATATTATAGGGAATAGAAAAAATACTAAATAAAATGAAAGCGGCTTAGCAGCTATGAGGCAACCCCTAGAATCCATAAACGAATGTTAGGCCATAAACAGTCTTCCTGCCGAGGCCAATGCTTATTTTGGACCTTTTGGGCTTTGGTGCAAGTCTCGAAAATAATAATAATAATATTATTATTAAAAACCAGAAAAAAAAAAAAAAACATTAACTGCCTAGGAATTGATGCCTGTTTGGTCAGGACTCAGGAGAGTCAGGTTTCTTTTCCAATTCCAATAACAAAATTTTATTTGTTCCAAAACGTTGAATAATGCTCAACCTAGCTTAAAGGTTTTCTGGTCGACAAAATATTTAAGAGAATATAAATTATGGTAATTCAGCTAAATATAGAAGTTAGATTGTTATTTATTGTGCACAAAAAGCCATCTCACTTTGGACTATCAGTAACACTCGATCTCGGATTATTGTTTCTAAACTTTACTCTTGTGACCAATTGAATTGCCTATGCTATATTATGTAATACTTCATGCACAAAATTTTTGATATTATATATTTAGCAAATCTATAAATGGTATAAATTTTAATGGGGATAAGGGTTAATTAATTGGAAATTTGCAGGGTTACCCTAGGGCTTGGTGGATGGGTGTGGGGGGTGGGATAGGGCATTTTGTGAAATGTAGAGGTGAAGCAAGGGAAAGGAAACAAGACAGAGATTGCTTACGCAAATCTAGCAAAACTGTCAAAATTGCACTTCTAGGGCAACTAATGTGTGAATGCTTTTCATACTTTGATTCTTGTTCTTGGACCTACTTTTTGATATTTTCCATGAACTTTCCATATAAACGAGATTGCTTGTTTCAAAACTCGTATTCAACTGAATTATCATAATTTATATTCTTGATGCTCTCTCGGATCAGAGCATAGGGACTCTTGAAATTAGAAATTCAATCTTCTGGGAACAACTAAAATAAAGTTAATTAATACTATGCTTCGGTGATAGTTATAGTGTGCATATCTAAATTCCACTAGAGAGGGTAGTAACGCAATATGAATTTGTGACCAGTTGAACACTTGTGTATAAGCACTTTGTAAAATCCTCGAGTTTAAAGTGTAAATCGGGAAACCCTAAAGTGTAAACTGATAATGCTTAATTATTCATATTACATAGCTAGAATATAGGTAATGTTATAATATGTAAATTAGGTTAAAATATCAATACATTTTCTCTCACCCTATTAACGTTACTGTATACACATGAGTTCGAACTTCCCGCTCAAACACATTCCATTGGCTTAGCGCTCTTAGTTAGTTAATTTTATTCTGTCTTTTCTCACCCTACTGACGTTGATTTCCTATATATACACATAAATTCAAACTCATTTCACTTGAACTCTCGCACTTATATTATATAGTTAATAAATTTTGTTGAACCATTATCTCCCTATTTTACTTTTTGTTATAGACATTAGAGGAAAACCCATTATAATTGGTCCATTTTTCTAGAACCATACCTTGCACTTGATATCTAGCTTCCACATTATAAACTTGGTGTCAGGTCAAACCAAAGCCAAAGGGAAAGATAGTAATATATAATGAATTGCAAAATGCAAATTACCCCCCCCCCACCCTACCCTACCCCACCCCACCCCCACCCCCCACCCCCAATGCCTAAACCATAAACATGCCAAGCCACTCTTTTTTATCTCATGTGATGTTAAGCCAGACAGCCACTGTTTACCATATACACACAGAAGACAAATGCAAACACATCCCAAAACCCTCATGTCCTTAGCTGTCTTTGAGCTTCTTTCTTCTTCTTTTTCAATTCAATTCAATTCTCCCATCACCATTTGTAAATGCAAGTAGCTATAGAACCACTTGGAGGAAAACCCATTTTTTTGCCCCCTTTTCCACACCCTTTTCTCCTCTCGAGCGAGAGAAATCTGCAGCCACTATCCAGTTCGTATCGAGGCTAATGGTACGAGGAGATTGGGGTTTTTTCGAGTATTTCTATAATAATGTCGGATATATATACCTAACCGATAATTTCACCATCTTCTTGTTACAATCCCCCGTGCTTTCATGGTCTCATTCACCACCTTATCCATGAAGGTTTCCATTATGTGGCTGTAAATTCTTGGGAGGCTATCGAGAAAATGGTGGCGGTGGAGGCGGCGGCGGCGGCGGAGGCGGAGGAGGAGGAGGAAATGGGTCCTAAAGATCTGCGGTTGGGACCTTATGGCTTGCCGGTGTTAGCGGTTTTTCTCATTGGTGGTTGACGGCGGCGGAGGTGGCGGTGATATTGGCGGGGACGGCTCAATCTTTACATGTATTTTTTGTACTGTCATCTTTAATTTTTATTTTTATTTTTTTCATTTTGGAAAAGGATTTTCACCCATACAGGTTGGCTTTCTTCATTCTGTTCCTTTTTCTGATTCATTTATGTAGCATTGGGAATTATATTTAATTTTTAAAATTTTAGCTTGAAAATAACAAGAAAAATGTGAATTATTGAAGATTTTTTGCCTTTTTTTTCATATCATCATATTTTTTATTATGTAAATATTTAAAAAGAGGGGAAAAATTACTAATTTTAAGAAAAATAAGGGAATTGAAGAGTGCTTATATAGTTGTATGTATTCTTTTGCCAATAAAAAAATGAATAGTTTTTTTTTTTTTTAATGTCAATATAAAAAAAATTAGAAGTATTTGTGATGTTTATTTATGAAAAAAATTGAATAATAATTTAGATTTTATTTTTTAAAAAGAAAATATATGGTACTATTCTTCTCCCAAATATATGGTACTATTCTTTTTAGGGATGAAGGAATAATAAAATGCTTTTAAATAGTTATTATTTCCTTAATTTCCAGTTAATTGGAAACCCTCGATCTGTCTTTTTTTAAAAAATAATAATAATAATTTAATTTAAATGTCATGTTTCCCTTTTTCCTTGTCTGTTTGGATCTCTGAAGTAAGAAGTTTACAAAAGTATTGTACTGAGAAAAAAAAAAAAAAAAAAAAAAAAAAAAGTGGTGGGGGGGGGGGGGGTCATATGGGGTATTGAAATTCAAAAAAAAATGTTATTTTTAATACTAAAATCACGGGATAGTGTCCCATACTTTCTAACTTGATATCGGGTGGTTATCAAATTAATTGTCCGACTAACTTGATTGGGGTTACTCCCATATAAAATAATACTCCGCACATGTTTTCTTTAATTTACAAAAAGTTCACAACTGTTACTCGAAGGTATGTTATGTGTGAAGCTCGCTTAATGATTTTAATCAGCAAATCAGCCTAGGTTACTCATAGTTCACCAACTCAAAGACAAGCCAACTACGTACTCAACCAACACAACTAAGTTGTCCCCATATAATATAATATGTTTTTTCCTGAACTTATAATATACTCCGTAATATTTTACGTGAGACGATTTCAGTAAATAGTATGGTTTAAATTAAGAGAGATGAAAGAAGAAAGAGAGGGTAAAGAAAGGACAATAAGGAAAGTGAAGGATGGGTGCTTTACATGGAAGTGTCCTATCCATGTCATTGTGTAATTTGTACACATGAAGACCACTCCAAGTCTCCAATTTAGGTTTTTTTTTTTTTTTTTTTTTTTTTTTTTTTTTTTTTTTTTGAAGGGTTTTTTGGCCATTTAATTATTGGGAAATTATCTACATTTTTGGATGGTTGTACTCACGTGCAGTTGGTAGAGATTTCTTGCTGATTTCCTGGGAAATTTTTTATGGTACCATTTGACATTACTCCAGACTATAATGTCACACTTCATAATGTGTGTTTTGAAAAACAAATCTTAAAATCAAGATTATGGCCTTGTTTGGTAATATAGTTAGTTGGCAAATGATTCTGGTTTGGGTTTACCTTGCAATGTGGATTTGGGTTCGAAAATACACAATTTGTGTACTGAATGTTCATGATTCACATACTGAATCAGTGTGAAGCTAATTATGGGCACGAAGCTCGGGCCCTATGTATCCCCATCAAGCTAATTAATCAAACACTCATATTAATTATTTAACCAAGTTAAACAGCTAATAATGGTCAAATAAGCTAAAATTGGGTGATAAGTTAACTACGACAGGGTTAGTGCTGGTCATCGTATGGGCACAAAACTCAGAGAATAATTCCCATCAAGCTAATTTACTAAACACTTTTCTACAATCGACTAATGCTATCAACTAGTCAAACTCACTAACCCAATTAACTAACAGTTATTTATCAAACACCCACATTAACTCAACCAGCTAACAGTTATTTATCAAACATCTCCATTAACTCAATCAGCTAACAGTTATTTACCAAACACCCCTATAAATTTTAAGTTTGGTTTTAACTCCAAACTTAAGAGGTCAAAGACCTTGTGATAAAATAGTATAATTGTCACTTTTCTAAATGAAAAGGCAAAAGTTCGATCATTGTATGACAAAGTCAGTATCTCCAAATGCTTATACAATATTGTTCCACAACAAAATTATTCGTACTTCCTTTTTTAGTTATTAGTAATATTCGAAATTTTTCCCAAAAAAAAAAACAAAAAAAAAAAAAAAGATTCGAAATTACGAACTCTTAAAATAATAATGATTATTATTTTAACAAATAGGAAAATTATCTTGATCCTTGACACATAAAAAGCCTGCAGACTGCAAACTCTGGGCTTGACTAGGAGGGTTAAATTAGAGTTGTATTATTCAACATGTCAGCCTACATAGGTCAAGGTGCAGTACTAACAAATAACTTGCATAATTTTTTATTTTTAATTTTGATAGTCCATTACAATTTTACAAATTTTATTGGACTATGTGAATAATTTAGATTTTATTAGGAATTAATTCCATTTTTTAATTAAAAAAATCACATGTAGCAAGAGTGAGAGTAGGGCAAAATTTACTATAAATAAAATTGTATAATATTGTAGTGCTCCATAACATTGAAAAAGTTGTTATACCATGGATCAGGATCCACTTTGCAAAGTGATCCTGATTCTTGTGTATTTTTAGTATTAAAATTATGTATTTTTAAAATATAAATTGTGTTTATAAGTCAAAATGGATAACAACTGTTAGGGCCATCAGATCCTATTAATAACCAATCTTAATATCTCAAAATAGTTGAATGTGACCATTATGAAAATAAAAAAAAATAATAATTAAAAAAATCCTAGAAATAGTATAAAATTAATTCTGAACAGTAGTACAATAGTAGTATAGCTGGATGGAGGGGGTGGGTGGGGTGAGGGTTTTGGGAGGGGGGGGGGGGGTAGTAGAGTTGAATTGGACGTGTCGATATAGCAGACTGAATGCATATGTATCCGTTACCTTCATTTCTTCTGCATTTGCTTCCCCCCAAAACAGTGGGCGGTCCCCATTATCATTTACCATTCTCCTTTTTCTTTTTTTTTCTTTTTTTTTTTTTTTTTTTACAATAATATTATACATTATACTGCCCGCCTTGAAGTTATAATTTTTGACGTGATAATTGACCATTAATCATTAGAAGAGACCAACTATACCCATAAATGTATCGATGAGATGACACATATTTCTTTCAACTTAACCCGAGGGTTTCGAGAATTAGTCTCGGTGTCTGAAAGTCGTAGTGTTCTGTAGTTGAGGAGACTAACTTGTTTTAATCTTCTTTGTCTTTCTCTTACGACGCCCCATTGAGGGGTTTTCCCAGTGTTTGCTTATGCGGAGGAGAGATGCAATGCGAGCGCACCCACCAGCCACATTAGGTGATTGCGAACTGGTGAATACACACACGCACACGCACACGCGCGCGCGCACACACACATAACATTGATATAGAAGGATTAAGATAATTGACTTGTAATTACTCTGACAATCATTATTGTGTGGACCATACAAAAATAATATACTTTTAGTATATTAAAATGACATTGTATTCAAGGAATGTACATTATTTGTGTATTGAGTGTACATTATATTTTATAATGAACATTCAGTACAAAAATAATGTACATTCAGTATATTAAAAATGTACTTTTTGTTATGGTTCGAATTAGTAATTATCTGTCCATAATTTGCCTTACTCTGAGAGATAATTGAATTCGAATTAGTAATTCGTGACAAATAAGCCAAGGTAAAACACAACTGAAATGAATATAAGCAGAGTAAGAAGCAAACATTGTTTTTCATCTTGTCTCTTTCTCATATCCATTAGTTACACATGTGATGTCCACCAGCTTCATGGATAGATACTTGCTGTGTCTCAGTCACCCATTAATGACTTAAAACTTATATGTGGCTTTCAGTTCGTTGAGGACATTAAAGATTCAATACTGAATGGTCAATGTAAGTCTGATATTATGCAGTTTGAGATCATATCTTCAAATCTCATCCCAAAGTTTTGAGTTTACTCGGGGTAAAAACAACTGCTAATACAATTACAAGGTTGGAGAATCGCCGTTGGTATATATATATATATATATATATATATATATATGCTCCGTATTGATGAATTCTAAATAAGGTCTTCCTCGAATAAGAGTTAAGTTCTGAAAGTACGACGCGACCTGAATATGAATTAGTCTTATCGTGGTGGACAATAGGCGACTCTAACTTGTATCATCAACAACAAGGCTAAGGTGGTCAAGGAAGGTTCCCTTCAAACCCCAATGGAAGTACAAGCAATGAGCAGAGTAGCTTTGCTAGCAGATTTTGAGTATCTAAGGAACCATCCTCTTGTTGGAATCAATGTTAAAGATGAACATAAGAAGGTTCCCTTTTTTTTTTTTTTTGTTGGGGGGTGGGGGGGTGGGGGGTGGGGGGGATAACCCACGTTTCCAGCCTTGTTAGACTATATTATAGGTGCATGATGAGGTAAATCGAGTTTGCCTTGCTTCGAGCCTTACCCCAAATTATACCCTTATGTGCACAAGGAGCCCAACCCCAACCTAGCCCATGAGAAGGTAAATTGAGTCTGCCTAGCTTCGAGTCCCACACCAAACTGTACCCTTCTGCGCTCAAGGAGCCCAACCCCAATCCCAACAATTGTTATACTATGGACCAGCCATATTGCATTGTGAACCCTAATACAAAAATTCTGTACCTTCAGTTATCACATTATGTACCTAATGTTAACAGTTTCTGTACATGTAAACAAATACTCCGTAACTTGATAATTGCTGACATATGATAGTTACATGTACAGAAATTATCAAATGCAAGTATAGAATGTGTCAACTATAGATACAGAATCTGAATGTTATTTTTGAACCAGGGTCTACAATGCAAGGTAGACCCTAATCCATGGTATAATTTGCCCAATCCCAGACAAAATTGGTGGAGCTCATCTCCAAATTGTCTCTAGTGAGGCGGCTGGAGGAGAGTTTCAAGTACAACTGCTCATCTACTAGACCATTGTCCCGGGGCTAGGAAGGTTCATTTGTTTGTAAAGGAAATGAAGAGCTCTCTTTGCTGCTTCACAAAATGTCAATGAGTTTTAATTGCTAAGCTTGGGCTAAAGGAAGG